GGATACCTTCTACAATAATTGCAAGGGATTTTTGTCAAAGGCCCAGTCAGTCATCCGAGCCTTGCTTTTTCTGGAAGCATGCCCCAAAAGCACACCACATTTTCTATAGACTTGATCAAGACGTGCTGTACTAATTTCCTATTGCTGCTGTAACAAATTGTCAGAAGTTAGTGGCTTAAAATGACACAAATGTGTCATCTTACAGTTCTGGAGGTCAGAAGTCTAAAATGGGTTGGCAGAGTTGCTTTCCTTCTAGGCAAGAGTCTATGGAGAACCTATGTTCTTGTCTTTTTTTCCAGATGCTAGAAACTGCCTGCATCTTTCCCCTCATGTTCTCTTTCTCTGTCTTCAATGCCAACAGCTGCTGTGCTGCCACTGTACATGGCACTGTAACCCCCTTGATTTTATATGTCCCTTTGACCTAGCTTTTAATCTGCAATGTCCTGCATTTCTATTGTTTTAAGTCACCCATCTTTTATTAATTTGTTATAGGAGCTACAAGAAACTAACACACAAAGGTATAACAGGAATAGACCAGAAGACTGGATGACCTCATTTTGGCACTGCGGTGCCCTAATCGTCTGTGACAGCATTGCTAGCCATTCCAGAACTCTAGGACAATGTCATCTTGGTAAACAGTAGAATCTCAGTAGCAGAGTTCTACCCAGGTCCTTCACCAAAAACAGAAAACCCTTGAGAATCAGTGCCCCGAAGAAAGCTGAGTTGATATAGGAAGTCAGCCCCTCCTAGCTAGTCTACTCCCAGTCTTCTTGTGTAAGCATCTGAGTGAGAGTTTTGGGAGGGGCTTTGAAGAGGGGCTACTAATCCATTTTCCATTTTCAAGCTAGTGTTCATGAAAGAGATCAAAGGCTTTCCTTTCTGGAGAAGAAAAATTTGTTCCTTTGACTACATTCAGGACGCTGGAAGTAGCAGAAATCAAACATACCCCTAGGACTTCTTGAAAAGTCACAGAATGCCTCAACCTGATAATTCCTCAGACTTTATTAATTCATAATATTGTGTTCCATCAAGATCATCACTTTTTATTATCTTGCTGCTCTGAACTGAATCCCGCTTATTATTCTCATCTACAGGGGCCATAAATTAAAATCATGTAGAATTTATAATCTTATAGTTCATTATCTATGATTGGTATTATCTCACTGCTTTTTGTTCTGGCCCTTATATATCCCCTGACAAGAAATATGGCAATAGAGTCTAAATACCATCTAACCAATAAATGTTGAGTTAAAAAAAAAAAACTTTAGTAACTATACTAGCCTAAAGGGCACCCATCACTCCTCCTTATCTCCACAACCAGCATAGTGTCTGCCAAAAAAGGCAGAAAAAGTGAAATCCTAAAGAGTTGGGAGTTAGAACTGGAATGTAGGTCCTTGTTTTGCCATTGTGCAGATTGGGTATATCACCCTTCACCTTTACCTCTTTCTCTGAAGGCTAAAGGACACTATGATACACAAGCCTCCTTCATGAGGAACAACCCTACTTCAGGCAACAGGTAGAGATGTAATGAGTTAACTCAAAAAGTAATGTGTGGCCCATTACTGAAAGCTCTGAATGCCCCTCAATGACATTCCAGAAGTATCCCTATGACCTGGGAGGCAGGTCCCTTGTTTCTAAGACTGATGAAGGATGTGTGAGTATAGATTCCCCTGTTAAACCCCGGGAAAAATAAACACAAGTTTCTAACAGTGGTGAGATCTCCACAAGTTATATTTGAATATGTTTGTTCACTAAAGATTTTGATGAAGTAGACTGGTATAGCCACAGTGGCATGTGTCATGGCTATTCACATCATTGTCTTTAGTGATGTGACATACTACCATGTTTGAAAGAGCAATGATTTTTCAGTGATAGAAGTTAGCAAAAATCACTAAAAAAAAAATGAATATTCCAATCTTGATTGATTTATCTAATTGGAAAATGTTCACATTTTAGTACGTGCCCTGGTTCTTGGGACCCAGTTTATAAAAACATAAAGGCATTGATAGATTTCCACATTGAGAAGTGATTGTCCTTTCCTCTACTCCTTCTTCTTTTCTTTTTTCTCACAGTTCTCAGTGTAATATGCAGATGTCAGAGGTCACAAGATAGAGGATGGAGGAGGAGAAATAGGCAAAGAGTGGCAATGCATAAACTATTGGCATTGTTTTAAAAATTGCTGAAAATGGCGTGGCTCGGTGGATGGAGCATCAGCCTGCAGACTGAAAAGTCCCAGGTTCAATTCTGGTCAAGGGCATGTACATTGGTTGCGGGCACATCCCTGGTAGCGGGTGTGCAGGAGACAGCTGGTCAATGTTTCTCTCTCATCAATATTTCTAACTCTCTATAGCTCCCCCTTCCTCTCTGTAAAAAAAATCAATAAATATATATATATATTTTTTAAATATTTAAAAGCACTGGATTTCAAAGTTATAAAATCTGACTTCACAATAAATACTTGTCTCTCTCTCTCCTGGTCTCACTGAACTGTGATCATAATTCAACAGTTATCAAATAAAAACCCTACAGTAATGAAAAATACATGTACTGCCAGGACTATTTCTGGAGCTGGGAATTGGAATCCAGAGATATCCCTAGTGGTGGCTGAATGGGAGAAAGTCTGAAAAAGAGGCTTACATCAAAAGTACAACATATCTAACTATGCCTCAGAATCATCTGAGACGCTTATAAAAACATAAAATTTCCGGAGTTCCATGGAAATTGAATCTGCAATGAAATCTATTTTTCATCTACCACATGAACAGAAATGACAGTCTGACGATACCAGACACTGGTGAGGGGTACAGTCCTAGGAAAGAATACTAACACATCCCTATTGGGGGTCATAGTTTGGTGCCACCACTTTGGAAAATACATCAGCACTAATCATTAGACTATAAGCTGCACCTCATGACCCAGCAATCCCATTTCTAGATCTATGCTCTAGGAAAACTCTTAGACATGCTCATGCATGCAAGTATATACAAAAATGCTTACATTAGTGCTGCTGGCAATAGTAAAAACCTGGAAACAATCCAAGTGTCTAATGAGAGTAGAAGAGATAAATTGTGAGATTTTCATGCAATGGATTAAAAACTAAATGAACCACAGTAACAAACATCAAAATGGACAAACCACAAAATGACAGTCTTATGCCATTTATATAGCACTTTTCAAACCTGGTCCATATGTTGTCTGGGGCTACATACATAAGTGGTGAAACCATAAACAACTCATGATGAACACAAAATACAGAATAGTGTTTACCTCTGAGAAAGGAAGAGATTTTAAAATGTTTTTTAAATGTATTGATTTGAGGGATTTGTTGTTGTTCCACTTACAGGAAGAGATTTTTTTCTGGGTGGGGGATAGATTGTAAAGGGATGGACAACATTCAAATTCCTACACTTGGTGGTGAGAACACAAGTGTTGATTTTATTGTAATCTTTAGTCTATGCATATATGTTATATCTACATTTTTGCATGCTAAATTTTATAATAAAATTTTGAAAAAAAACATACAACAGATTTCTAACTGATTCAGAACTACTGAATCATAGTTTCAGCTAGGGGGTCTGTGCAGTATTTTATATAACTTCTCCAGAATAGTTGGATGCACTATGAGGCTAAGAGCCACTCACCTACATACAGACATACATTCTCTACAATAAATATCAACATCCAGGTGAAAGAAGCTTAAAATATAAATCAAAGTCAGGCAATTTCAAGAGGCATAAAAAGAAAAGGGTAGCCTGGGACAGCGTATAGGAAAAAAATGGTCTCTCACCACAAGGCTCCAGGCTGATGAGGAAGCCTAAGAGCCATTAGTTACCTTTGTGCCACCTCCAATGACCCCCTACAGCTTACTGGAACCTGGACCCTATTAGATTCCAAGTAAGTTAATCACCCCCAGAAATAATCCCAGGGAAGGCTCTTGCCATAACCTTTGTTACAAAGAAGAAGCACAATGTGGTAGAAAGTGTCCATGTTTAGGACACATCAGAACAGACATCTAGACGTAGGCCCACATGTACATGCTGTGTGATCTTCAGCAAGTCATTTGCTCTCTCTGAGCCTAGCTTTCCCATCTCCCTGTCTCCCTCATAAAACTGGAATCAAGTGAGACAGTGTGGGTAAAAAGATTTTGCAAACTGAAAGTACCATGTCAGTTATTATCTCATTCTAAAAGCCAAATATTAGTACATAGGCTGTCAATTCTGAGTCAGCAGTTAGCTGGGTCCAAGGAATTAGAAGCTCTAAAATTTGTCATAGAGAGACTTGAAGGCAGGAGTAAGGCTTAGTGCCTCTACATCTTTCTCTTAAATCTCAACAAATATTTAACAAGCACCCACTACTTCTCCAGAGCTACCCTTTTCCAGTCCATGATAATTCAGAAAAGGATGTTCATAAATAGCTCTGGATTACCCAGAAGCACCTTGAATGCTAATAAGTAGCCTGAATATTCATTCATTAATGGCTTTGAAACTAACATTTACCCAGTTACACAATACCTTCCTAATTAGGGTTGCCAGATTTAGCAAATAAAAGTACAGGTCACTGAATTAAATTTACAATTTTTAGTGTAATTAGAATAAATTTTAAAGTATAACTATGTCCCAACTATTGCATGAGATATATGAAAAATAATTTGTCCCTCAAGTTTAACTGGGTGTCTTGTTTTTAATCTGTCTCCAAATGGACAAACAGATCAGCACTTTCTCCTACATCTTACATTGGGAAATGGCATGAAAGAGAGACATGAAATCCTGTTTCCATTACTTGGTAAGAGAATAAAGGGCTGGATTGATCTTAAAATTGGACTTGCATCCTCTCTTTCCTTGCACAGCTCAAGCAGGCATGGAGAAGCACAGATATTAAAAGCAGGTTTCAAAGGACATGGAGTAGAGCAAGGGAAGGGATGCCTTGATTTTTCAAACAGAAATTGACATTCCTGCCATCCTGGCCCATCCAGAACACTTGGCAGTAGCCTCTGCCCTTACCTCTGGGTATCTCCTTGGAATGCTCTGCCTCGGGCCCATCCAGCAGGTCCATCTGGGAGGCCTCCTCCGAGGCGACACGGCGCCAGGACCAGCTATGGTTCCCAAGGTCATGGAGTGGAGGGGAGTACTCCAGCTCACAGGGGAAGTCGAAGCTGCACTCCAGCCCTGCAATGACAGTGACACCCAATGGTGAGTGGGGCAAACTATTTCCAAAACATGGCCGTCCAGCCCTAGAGCCTTACTCCTCCATTCCAGGAAGTTGGCCTTTGTCACACGCGGATCTTCGCCCTATTCTGAAGTGGCAAGTTGTCAACTTCACAAGTAGCTGGCTCCATGTTGGTGAAAAGGAGGCTAAGAGAGAAAAAGGTGGGTTTTATATGACTCAGAGTATGGGAGGTGTCCTCAGAGATGGCAGGAAAACTAACAGGTTGTACCCTGAGAAGCTCTGCATCCTAGGAGGCTACCTGGTGACATGGAGAGGACTGAGGTCAAGTGGAAGCACCTGACTTTGCAATCAGATAGGTCTGGATTTAAGTCTGGTAGTGCCATTGCCAACTGGTTATTCCAGGAAGTAAAATGAACACCTTTGGCTTCAAATTTCCATACCCATACATTGGGGATGATAATATCTACTTTGAAAGTTGTCTGTAAGAATTAATAGATATTGCATTATCTGTGTATATAAGCTTTGTCCATCACTGAGGCTCGGGAAAAATCCTAGTCAGATCCTGCCCTATCTGCGAAGAGAAAGCCATAGGGCTTATGTCTAACTCATAGCCCTGTTTGCCAGCTCTATTGTCTATCCTTCAACTCCTCTCCAGAAAAGAGGGCCAACGTTATGCCAGCTAATCCACACTATTCTCTCTGGAGGCAGGAATGGGGTCAGTCACTGGGTAAGGAGAAAGAAGGAAGAGGGATGTCTTATCTTTTTTTCTGGGCTTCTTTGGGGGATAATCATCCTTGTGTCCAGATCATTCCATTTTTGCTCTTCTTTTAGGATATAGTCACCTTCTCTTTCCCTTCCTTACTCATTATACATTACCCAAAGAAGATGAAGCACTTTTTACCAGGTAGGCCCTCAAAGCTAGCTGATGCATCAACAGAATATGTACCAAAATGCGGATTATTCATCCACCTATTATTTCATCATCTCCCCTCAGCATGGGGATGTGAAGAAAGAAATAATGTGATATGAAGAATGGACCTCTGGATTAGAAATTGGGAGGAATTTGGAAGTGTCCAGGCTTAGCCAGTCTCTTCTCATGTATGGAACTTTATGCTCTCAATTGGAAAACAAGGGCTATAAACAAGTCACTGACTTGCTGGTTACCTTGAATAAGCCATTTACCCTCAGTGGGCCTCAACTTCCTCAAAATGAGACCTAGATTAGCTGCTTTCTAAAATCCATATAGATGTGACTTTTTTAAGGGTTCAAATTCTGGCTCTCAGAAGGGTTATAACTAATTTGATAAATAAAACGTGTGTTGGTGCTAATGTGTACAAAGTCCCAGTTATCAATGTGTTTTAATAGCTGATTCTGGGCTCTTGATATCTTGTTCTCCAAGAAGACTCTGCTGAAATTTTCAGAATGCAGAGAAGTGGGGCCAGTTCTAGTGTAGGCAGCCAGTCACCAGATGTTCATACCCTTAGGTAGCTGGCCCTGTCCTGGAGTGGGAGTAAAATGAAACCCATTGACACAGGCCAAACTATTTAAGTTTAGGGGAAGAGGAAAAATCCCTTCAATTACACTCCTATTAAGCACCTTTCTTCTCAGCCAGTAGAGATTTATGTGCCAGCTGTTCTCCGGGAGCTGCCATTCTTCTGGTCCTAAGGTTAATACCACTCGCCCTTTCACGATTCAGACAGTTCACCTTTATAATGGCAAAAATGAACAGACCAAGCCAGCCTTGTCTGAGTTGACATGACACTTGCTGCCTACATATTTCATCAGCCTTGAAGACTTCCTACCTGTCTCTGGGGCTGAGCTGCTGCTATGAATTGGTATCCATGAATTGTAGACTGCTCTAATCTTCAAGACTCTCCTGCCAGGCACCTGGTTTTGATAGCAGAATGCAAGGAGAAAACTAATCCAACATTTTGTACTCTGTGACACAAAAATGATCCCCATAATGAAAGGTGTGGCCACTAAATATGGCCCTTCTGGGAAGGTTCAAAAAGACTCAGCCTCATTAGGAAATGGCAAGTCAGAAGGTGGGAGAGGAAATTACTGGCCATCCCCAAACCACATTGACAATTATTGTACCTTTCTCAAAGCTTCAATTTCTGTAGTCCATCATCTCTCTTATTTTCCCCCTCCAATTAAAGTTATCCAATTTATATTTTGACAGAAGTGTGACATGCATTCTTAGACACTGCCTGGCAGATGTGCAATCGATCATCAATCGTGGGATCTTTGGATTCAGAAGAGTCTAATAATTGGCTGTTTTTGGAGCAAATCCTGCCTAGTGAAACAGGCGAGGCAGACTCTCCAATTATCAAATGGGTGAGGCAGACTCTCCAATTATCAAATGGGTTCGTTTTGAAATTCTTGCTCCAAGGCAGCCTCACTTTAGCTGTCAAAGCTGTACTCTTTGGCTTTAAATAGAAGTGGGGTTAACATTACTGCTCATTTGGGGTGAAATTAAATTGGGCCCTTCCTGCATTCTGATTTAATTTCCCATAAAACATAGGATGGTTTCCTTCTCCTGAGCTGGTCTCAGTGCCTTTTGTACAATATTACCTGGGATGTATCTTTTCTAGAAAACACCAGGTTAAGTCTCATTTCCATGTTTTTGGGGTTTTTTTGAGGTTCTAGACCTACAGTGCTTCCTGAATCTCTCTCCTTAACCCTCCTCTGACTCAGTCTGTGTGGGATAGGGGAGTCTGTTTTATAGATGGAAGTCAAAGGTATCAAGGGCTTCAGTGAAGTGTCTAGCCTTAAGTAGCCCAATGGCAGAGGAAGGTTCCCACCCAAGGGAAGGGTTGGAAAATAACATTCACTGAGTCCCAGCTCTCTGCCAGAGACTATGCTAGGTATTGTCTTATGTAACTATATTTAATCTGCAAAAAAAACCCCAAACAAATAAAACAAAAACAATGAGAAGTGAATGTCCTGTCTCTACAGAGAAGAAAACTGAGGCTCGGAAAGATTATTCTACTTGCTCAAAGATCAAATGACTTTCCTGAGGCAGAACCAGAATCTGACCCAGGGCTGGATAATGAAGACTCGGGCATTTTTCATCACACCTCCACAGCTTCAAAATCTCAACCCACTTAAAGCAGCAGCAGTGGAGATAATAAAGAGCTTGATGATAGATCAGACATGTGGGTAAAAAGAAAAACTGAAAAAAAGGATGACTCAAAAAAGATCTCAATCCACTATTATTTTTGATTATTGGACCCAAAGTCTGCAACCTCTTCAGATCTGCAAAGTCTCCTACACTACCCAAAGAGGACAGGTAGGTATTTCCTCCTCTGTGTCAGATCCATTTTGCAAAGTGACTATGATCTTCAGAAGAACCCACAGATTTCAACCCTACCTTATGTACCTGCTAGGAACCAGGGGAATCGAACACAATGAGAAAAAGACATACTTTCCAGAATTTGCCGATCACATAGTTGAAATCACAACTATCCACCTTTTAGCCACTCCCATCATGAAAGAAAGATAAGGTAATGGAATCTCCCGGAAATAGTTCTCCTTTTGGGAGTCAAGTGCTACAAAGGGAAAGGTCTTGGCAGGGCAGTGATAATGTTCTGGGGTTGGTCTTGCAAACAGCAGCTGAGGGGTCTTGGGAGATCTATTTATCTCTCTCTGTCTCATTTTGTGCATTTGAAAAATGAAAGAAATAGAGCATGCACCCTCTACGGTGCCCTCCATCTGTGAAGGTCATTTATTTTAAAGGGCTCATTCTGGGTCAACACAACCAATCCTATAGACTGTCAGTCAGTCACTTTCACTCTGTCTTCTTATAAATGAAGGCTTGTTGCCATCCCTAGAAGCAGATTCCCCATGGAAGGAAGCTGAATGTGCATCATACTCAATTAGGACTCAGGTTATCTCAAAATTCACTCTCAAATTAGAAGGAAAGTTCAGATAAGTTCTACAGATGACTGTTCCAGGTGAATGTGTGTGTGTGTGTGTGTATTCTCATGCATTTTTATCAGTTTGTACCTATATTCTGAACTATTCCATTAGCAGTTAGCTTCAAGACATTGTCCTAATATAAAAGGCAATCATTCAGAAGACTACTATGGTAACTGATCAGAAAACTCTGTGGTGACCCTGCCCAGAGAGATGCACAGTTCTCTTACCAAAATTCCTTGGCTGTAAATAAGTTGGCAATGACAGCCCACTCTGACACTGAGTCTGAGGGTGGAAACCTAGCCTCTCGGTATGTGTGAGACTATCAGAGTTGTCATGCCCAAGGCCTATGCCTAGCTACTCAGGCAGAGACAAGGCCTTCACATTCTGGGCCACGTAGAGAAGACTGCATGTAAGTTCCAGGCACAGACCATGACACCATGGAAGGACAGTAGGGCCATATGGTGTACTTTGGACATTTAGATCTTCCCTTTGGTGGGCTCTAGAAATAGTGCTCCTTTGTTTACAGACTGACCTCAGGCTCAAAAAAATCCCTTGAGTCAAAGCCTTTGTGTATTCTTGATCTTAACCCTGTAAACCCAGAGACCTCCCACTAGTTTCTTCATTCACTTTAGTCAATTTCAATTAAAAGACAAGCAACCTCCTTTCGTCTTTAAGACACTTGTTCAAAGACTGACCAATTTCCAGATGACGAAAGGGTGGCAGGGGCCTTAAGAGCAACTGCCCTGGGGCAAACACAGGAATCCACTGGTTAATGTCACACAGACTCAACCCATCACAAGGTTTGGAAGCAAATATTACAGAGTGAAAACCAGTAATAAAAACAGAGAAGAACACATGTTTATCAATCCCACAGGTACTTCACCCTTTTTCATTTTGTCTCTTACTACAAGTGTTTCAGAAGTCAGGCTTGGGATCAGACTTACTAGTAAGTTCTAGACTCTTGTGTTTATAGAAGAGACCCAAGCTTCAAGGGGAGGACTCATGAAGGTCGTGAAAAGTATTTTCATAACTGGTAACATTTTCTAAGGGCTTTCTGGGTCAGATGCTATGTCAGGAA